AAAAAAAAAAAAACATATTTAAATAGGTTTTTTGTCAAAAAAAAGATATTTTCAAAAAAAAAAAAAAAAAAAAAGAAATACAATTAAATGGATGTAAATCTAACACTGCAAATGTATCTAAACTAGCTAACCCCTGACATACATGCATATTAGTTTATTTCAATTTTTTATTTTTTATTTTAAATGCTCATATGGTGGGTTTTCGTGGGTGTTTACTTACCGAGAGCGCCGCTCCTGCAACGTGCTGAATCCAGCGAACGACTGGCTCCGTATGATCCCATTGGGCCCTCCAGGGGAGTGGGTGCCGGCCGCCATGATCTCCGGGACGCGCGAAGACACTCCTGCGGCAGACAAAGACACGGAGTTTAAAAAGAAATCCAGACTTTTCCAGAATCAACTTTACTGTCAAGTATGAAATGCCAACTTTGAATTTTATGGCGATATTTGTAGGCTGACAGGCTTCAAAAACCAAAAAAACTTGTAAGGATGGAAGGATACAAGGGATGGAGAGAGGAAAGGAAGGACACAGGGCAGGAAGCAGGACGCAAAGAAAGAAGGACAAGTCTGGCTGGAAATGCAAACATTTCTCCTCCCTTCTTATTTGATTCCATACTTTCCCCGACCTGGAAAATAGTGAAACGGTATTCTGTGCTTTTCCATATTTGTCCAGACTAAGGAGGAATCCTGAAGATAACCAGAGTGAAGTGAGCATTGTGCAGCGCAGCACCGGATTAGGCGCCGTCGGTGACGCTCTCCATGTGGACGAGCAGCATTCAGCGCCTGTCCCAACACGCCTCGGCCTTCTTTAGATCTCCGTCACCACGTTGATGCAAACAAACGTCAGCTGTTACTGTTGCGCCTCAGGCAGGTTTCACAGCCTAAAACCTCCAGTTGCTTTTCATCAGCTGTGCAGGTAGTTTATATCTGAGCTAAAAGACAATGTGCAGCTCACCAGACTGACATTTGTTCACAAAGTATTTCTAAAGACATTTTTTCCTTTGGTTTGACAGTCCAATCATCTCTGCAAAAAGATTATCTAATCAGTACCTTTTTGGAGTTGAAGCACCTTTTATCACTGTGTCTATATTTACCAGCAGCAGATTTCAATTCTTTTCCTTTCTTTTTCCGTAAGGGAGAAGAAAGCAGCGTGACTGACGTGGGCTCTCGGAGAGCGAGCTGAAAATAGACGGCGAAGCATCCAAATATAGCCGTCAGATAATGATGTGGCAAAGATCAGGTGCCCAGAGAGACTATGGGTCTGCTGAGACAACCAGATCACAGCTTCAGCTGGAGAGAAATGACTTTTAACGTCTAAACTGTTGTGCAGGTGGATGTTGTAAAATCCAGATGAAGTCCAGAATGGGAGCAGGTCAACTTCTCTGGTTTGCTATGGGCACAAAAACAACTCCAAGAAACAGAAACAATGACGACTGCAGAGCCTTTCAAGAGTGTTCACACCCCTCAAGTATTTTTAATGTTGTGTTATTTCACACCACTATCTTGTCCTGAAACTTTCAGATGCATCCCTGCTCCAACGAGCCGAGACAAAATGCAGCCATGTTCCTATGCATGTTTGCATCTCTAATTGCACAGCAATTTTGTTGTAACATAATGAAATCTAAACATATTCTGTGCATACTTTTCCTAGAAGCTGACATTTTACAGTCTTTATTTAAAACTTAAACATCAGCAGAGCCATAAGAGCAGCTTCAGATGGTTCTTCTGCTTCTGAGGAAGTAAAGCAAGACCAAAGCTGTCACATGTTTGAAACCGTGCCCTAAGATAGCCTGGTTCAATGACAGCAATATTTCAGTTCAAACGTAACGACAAGGCGCTTTGCTTTGGAAAGAGGAAGCACATGACTACCAGACCGTGGCGAGATAATCTGCAAAACGATCATTATAACTGTGCTACGAGGGGGTTTATTTAAGTTCATGACGTAAATTAGAGCAGTTCGAATGTTTAGATTTATTGAGACTGAAAAAAATCCCCACTTAAATCTACAGAGAGAAAACTAAGCAAGTCACAAAGTGAGAGTAAATCTAACCACCAAATAATACGTAATGATTCCAGTGTCGATGGGGTGAGAGCTGCAAACATTTTGCGTGAGTCATTTCAGTCCAGAGCTGGGAGATAAGAGTCGCAGAGAGAGAGAGAGAGCAAGAGAAAGAGAGAAATTCATCAAATCTGATTAGACCCTGCAACCATACCAAAGAATCCCGAGTCAGCTCTTTGTCCTGACACAGACTACATAAATCATCCCAGAGTTTCCAGTTAAACAACTTTGCAAACATGGAGGCACAGGAAAAATACTGGATTTTTTTTTTTCAGGCTGGTTGTATCACCCCAGCCTGAAAAAACAAACCCTGCTTTCTCCTGCTTCTCTTTATGTCCCAGACAAGACAGACAAGAGCCATGTGGGGGGCAGGGTGAGGCCTGCGTTATCATGCAAATGCAAGCAAACACACACACACACACACACACACACACACACACACACACACACACTACTGGTACACCATCCTATTGGCACTATAACTGATTGAGCCGTCCACCTGATATCGTCACATTGAGTCTGAGCGCCAGACAGAGTGAAACACAAAGACTGGACACCAAAGAAACACGAGCCGATTTGAAGTTGTAGGACAAAAAGCTAACAATGGCTAATAATAGCAGCAGGATCTCCTGAAACACAGAGGACCTCAGCGGCCGTGACGCTTCAGTTCAACCGTCGTGAACCAAGGACTGTAGGAAGAGTTTTACCCAATAGTGGATTTTATTCAGTTTGGCAGACAAATAATTTGATATTTTTAGTCGCAAGGTTCGGGATAAACCATTATCATCGGTACCGTTGTGCAAAATTTAATATCAATCACATCTTGTTTTGCTAGGGATTAATTAAAAACTACACTTTGCACATCAATATCATATTCAAAGGACTTTTAGAAAAGTATCTGCCCCCTTTCAGATTTTCTGCTTTTGCAATTTCATTCAAATGATTTCAATTAATGAGGAAACCAATGACAAAAAGTAACATCTCTTGTGTAGAAATCTTGACCTCTTCTTCTTCGTAGAAATTCAGTCTCAGTGAATGAGGCGACTATTTAAGACATGGTGGATTTAAAACCAGACCGCTCCAAAACCTCGATTCTTTTGCCCTTTTAAGGCATTAAAAGCTGGACTTGCTGTTCTGATTTGGACCATTGTCCTACAGGAAACCCATATTTTCTTGAGTTCAATGGTCACAAACATTCTTCAGGACTTTTTGCTTGATTGTATAATTCAAGGTTCCATCAAGGGTCCAAAAGCTGAAACAATAAGACGACCCAAGACACTTAACACTACCACAATGTTTCTACGTCAGTGAGATGTTCTTTTTTTTTTTTTTAAGTCAGATAATACTTGTCAAAAGTTCCACTTTAGTGTCTGCAGTCCACAAAATATTCAACCAAAAGTCTTGGTGAATATCGTGGTTTATTTACAAATGTTTTTCAACTTTGATCTCTCTAATGGACGCCATTTTTGATTCTTGTTAAAACATAAACACCGACCTTAACTCGGGTCCACAGTGCTTTAGATGTTGTGCTACGAGCTCTGGGTAATTTGGTAGGCTGGTCAGGAAGATTCACTCCTGTTCCAGGTTTTTAAGCTGAACCCAAAGCTGACTTACCAAAAGTTAGCCATTATTTTTTTTCACATAAGGCCAGGTTAGCTTGGATAGCGTTTTTTTTTTTTTTTTTTTTTTTTTTTATGAACTGACACGTTCAAGTGTGATGAAAAAGCAAAAACTGCAGACATCTGTAAAGAGGGCAAATACTTTTCCACAAACTGTTTAACCCCTAATATTGCAATAACACCAGGCCCAAACCACCATTTGGGCCCATTTCAGTGTTTTTCTGCGCCCTGCGTTTATTTCCCTGACTTTCTGACTCAGTATAGTCTAAAATAAGAGCAGCGAGTGGGAAATGATAGCTCATCTTGTTACCTAATGCTCTCTGGCTAACAGCAGAACATGATGGACACTCTTCAGAACACTCTCCTTGTTTCCTTTCCATTTCCTGTGTTTATAGGAAGCAAAAGAAGGAAAGGTGGTATTTTATAAATACTGATGTTCCCAAATGGTACGCGCGATGTGTTTGAGTTTCTTATTTTTTGGGGAGGATATATATACATATATATGTATAAAAAAAGCAATGCTTCCTCACACACCTTACACTTGAGGAAGATTTGTTTTTTTTCCCACAGGAAAAACCTGCGTCTAAGTGTAAGGTGGAGGCTTTGTTTGGCCTACGTGCATTTCCAGGAACTCGCCCACTTTATAAAAAGATAATCATCTTTCCCCTCAGAAGCAGGGATAACATCTGTTCTTTAAATATGCTCACCATGTCTGTGGTTTAAGCACAATTCCCACATCTATAAAAGCAAAGGAAGTTTATACAAGTGGCAAACAAGCAGACAAAACAAATGTTTGCATCTCGGGACCAGGGAGAAATGTTTGGTATCAAGAGGCTGCAAATAAGGAACTGGTGGATTTAGTTTGTGACCAATTATACACTTTTGATCTTTTAATATTCATAATTCCCTTGTTATTATTAGTTTATTGGCAGAATATTAAAAAATTAGAGTCAGAAAACTTTTATTCAGCTCTCCTGACCGACTCCTTCACTTGATAAATCACGTGACTATACACCAAATCACCTACAAGCTTCTAAAGTTACACTTTCAAACTGTGACCAAAGGAAACGCCACATTTCTAATCAATGTTTCAGGATGAATAAAGATTTTTTGTCACTCATTACCTCATTTTGAGTCAGTAAAAACCCTTACACTTTGTTTTCATCTTTAAAAGCCAGATGGACCGTATTGGGGTTTATCAACAATGCTAAATGCAGCCGCCTTTCAACATATACATTTGCTTTTCAGGCTTTTTAAGGCTTTCTTTCTATATCTAAGCATTAAACTGATCAGTATGCTGAGGTCCATTTGGTGGGGGTCACCATATGACAAATACGTAATTAGTAAATGGGAAGAGGCGGCGCAGAGCAGGGAATCTGTTGCAGGACCAATAAGTAGTAATGTATTAGTCTTACCCTTGACCGTTACTTAGCTGTGTCAGTACTTGCGGACGCTGAGCTCAGAGGGTGACGAACATGCAGGATAAGTATATTAGAGTCAATAAAGGGCCTGCGGGTATGAGGAGATGAATGGGAAGCCATTGATCTTTTATAGAGAGTGATCAAAAAGACACCCGAATACGAAAGGAGAGCTCAGGATCAATGTGTCGAAAAAATACTTTCATACCCGTGTTCTTAACAAATCTGTTTAATCGTTAAGCGTTTAGTATATATTTGGATTGAATGCGCTTTACATCTGGATCGGTTTTTCTTGTAAAGTGCCTTCGAATAACACCTATTACTAAGTTATGCTACATAAACGTAATTTATTTGAAGTGTTTTGATTAATTACAGAGTAGCCAGGATCGCCTTCAATCAACAACAAGCAGAGTTTTTAAATTCTGTAGACGGCTTTAAAAACGACACTCCATTCATGTTTTTTAAGAAGCATGGAGGCGACTCAGATATTAGTCCTAAATTCTCCTAGAGACAGTGTGACTCACTTCTTCCTCTTGGACTTTATTAAATTATTCCTCATCTCCTTATTTCCCTCATCACCCT